TTGTTATTAGTACACCACAGAGCAGACATATAAATACATTATTCATTATAGCATTGGCATCAGAAAGCAAGACAAGAAAAAATGGCATCAAAGAAAAAAGGTTACATGAAACCCCAATTTTTACTTTTGTTATTATTGTCTTGCTGCAAGAGGATTTAGTAGATGAAACTGAACTACATCCAGGGCCCTGGAGTGAGAAATTCCTCTGAAAAAACAAGCCTTGTATTCCTCACAAAAAGGATTAGCAGTTCCTAAATGCCTCACTAATTTCTTAAACACTGTTCCTGCTGCTATAAAGGAAACTATAGCACTTATAATACCTCACTGTTCCTTGCTTCTGCTTGGCTTTATTAAGAAAGACAGAACCAGGGAAAGAACTAACGAGACAGAGCAAAAGATCCGAGCCTAGAGCAGAGCAGTTATGAAGCTGAGTCAATGTGAATCATTTGCAAAGCATATATCCACTCAGTGGAAGGATCCACTCTGAAATGTGTACTTTTTTTTTTTTTTTAAAAAAAAAAGCCTCACAAGCTGGAGGCATGTCAATCACTTTTTAATGGAAGCTATGGATGAATTGAATAAAGTATCAAGGGTTCAGATGCTGATAATTTCTGAGTCAGAGGTTACTTTTATGCTATTTCCACTATGAGTACTCATGCCTTCTGCAACAGCTTCTGCTATACTTCCAGCTGCTATCTATTCTGTGCTCCACATGCACCACCCTAGGATGAAAGCTTCAGCTCCAGCAGAGATCTCATCAGAGTCAGAAGACCTCTTGATACTTTGAGATAATTATTATTATTAGTGCTGCCACCCCTTTTGGGGGACTGTCAGCCTAAACTATAGTACAAAATTGGCTATCCCCATTTGTTAATTAATTTTGTTTGTAAAATACTCCTCTGAGGGAGAGGGGAATAAATGTTACCATTAAGGACTTAAATAGGCTTTCAGATGAAATACCATAACCAGCTGCAGGTCAGCAACAAACCATTCTTTGTTAAGGTGTTTTCCTTTTACAGAGATACAGACTTAACAAGCTGAATAATCTCATCTTTTTAAGGCAGACTGTTAAGGTGGACTACTTATATGATTAAAAATACTCTATAGTTCATAGGAGCAGAAAGGAACAATAAGGAACAGTTCTTTCCAGCTATGCGTTATTTTTCATACAAAATGTTCTGAAATGATGTGTGAAAAGGGCCACAATATCCTCCTGCTTATGGTTAACATTTTACACGTCTTTCTCCTGTTACTAATATTTAAAAGTAATAATCTTAAGCAAAAATAAACCCTTTCTGGCCCCCACAAAAACTATAAAATTGGAATCAAGGCCAATATACATATAAATTGGAATCTTACCCAGGTTATTAAAAAATAAAATAAAATCACTTTTATTCCTAATATTATAGGCATTGAAAAATCAGTAGTTTGGTATACTCAAAGGCAATTTCATGAAAACAAACCCACAAACCTGACATCTCAACATAAGCCTGAAATTACAGGGAGAAATTACTCTCCTGCCAAACCATCCTTTGACCTTTAAGCCACCAGCACACTATGCTATACCCTTTACCCAGATAACATCACACGTTTTGTTAGAGCAGGATGTAAATATCATTAAGAACTTTAGTACTGTAAAATCAATTTAGTTTGGAAAAAAAAAAAAAAAGCAATTTATGGGTATATCAAGCATGCAAGAAGAATCTACACAAGGAAGATGAAAAAAATTATATACTGGAAACGACTATACAGGAAGCAGCTGTTGATAATAACAGTGGTTCAGAAAAGCCTAAATAAAATGAGTAAATGGATCACTAGATTTTAGTTCAAGGAAATCGTTATTGAAATTATCTGAGTACAAATTTCTAAAAATAGGGTAAATTTGGATTTAAAAAATGGAAAAAAATAAATTAATAATCAGAGAATTTGAGAGGGAAATAGCAATGAAGTTTAGATTTTTTTTAACGTGATACGGTCATGTTATTTTTCATTGCTTCTGCATAACATCACATTAATATTTAGCATAATGGTAGCTAACACACTGATTGAATAATAATATGAACCTTGGATTTCCTTCTCAAGACTAGTAATAGTTTATAGAAAATAACTTGGGTATTGTTACTATAAGCCATTAGGTCACTCAGTAGACTTATTATAAGAGAAGATAATATGAATGTGCCAATAATTCTGTGCTACTAAAACCAGCCCTAGAATGTACTGTGATTCACTAAACCTACTCTGAATCAATGGTCTAGAATTATGAGGAGCCTTTACAAACCTTTGTGGCATAATATTTTCCAGACATGAACAGGAATAGGTAAGAATTCTAATTTTGTGCTCACCTTCAATTAAACTAAACTCACAATTAAACTGGTATCCCAGTGAATTAAACCATCTGGATGTTCAATGTTCAAACAAAGGGCTCTTGCAGTTAACAGTGGCTTCTGAAAGAAGTGTGAATGAGTAGGCTGTTCCCTGTTTTATGTGGCTTGTGATCCATCCTTGCAAGAAGCTTGATGAGGAATGCTATCTAGTAATTGCAATTACCAATATTTTTTTTATTCACCAGTAGTTATCTTTTCTTGACCTTTTATTTTTTCTATTAATTAACCCAAATGTTTTAATGTATTTTTAATGTAGTGATGTAAAAGAATAATTTATGTATTCTTCTTCCACAAGCACGTTGAAAGAATTTCCCAAAGGCAAAATATGACTTTCTTAAAAGCTTTCTCTGTATGAAATTCTACTGAAACAATTAAAAAGCTGTTTTCACAGGTAAATAATTGGACATATACCCAGGGGTAAAATCAGACATGAAAATGGATAGATATTCATAAGAAAGAGCTCAGAACAGATTTGGTCCGAGTATTTTTCTAGTACAGTTATATTCTCAGTGTTGTGTATTTTTAATTCTTATGGGCATAACAAAGTCTGAAAGAAACTGAAATCTCAAGCACAAAGTACTCCATCCAATTCATTATTTACTGACCTTGGGAAGATCCTAAACAGCAGCTTCAGATGGTGAAGAATGCCTCTCTAATGAGACAGGCTAACATTAAAGGTGACGCAAAGCTCTGTGTGAAATGGAAGCTAATAACCTCTGCTGAGCTGATAAATACGGGTTTCATGGCAGCAATGCCCAAGCTAGTGGGGTCAAGTGACATTGAGGCTGTGAAAACGTTGAAAGTAAGGAGGTACCAGTCCAAGGCAAAGGATAGGGAGGCAACTAACCAGTAACATGGTGCTGGGTGAAGAGAAGTAAACAATGCCATAATAAAATGGAATTGGATTTTGATAAGATAAATTAGTTTTTTCACCAGGGGTACAAAACTTCTTCTGCTTTGTGAAGCTGAATGGTGAGTGTGCTCTAAACTGAAGGTAAACACTAGAGATGAAAATCAGATCAACATTTCTGTGCATTAGGGATGTAAGATGGCATAGTGCTGTTGATATATTGTCTTGCTTTCTAGGCACCTATCTGCATATACACAGCTAGCTGTAACTGCTAACGATTATCAGACTGGGCTGCACTTTGCTGCTTCTCAGAGGAGATGCAAAGCATGCCCTATAATTCAACTTTCTGACCCAGTTCATAAGAAACACTACTCATACTGGCAGGAACTTGTTTGACAGAAGGCATGTCAGCAAGAGCTTTTGCTCTGTCTCACTCCACTGGCCACACCAGAAGTTAGTACCAAAGCTATTGTCCTAGATAACTGGTGTTCTTGCTGTAATGTTTAAGCCTTGCTTAAAAAATAAAAAATAAATTAAAAATTCTATTTTCTGTGTGTAGCAAAAGAAAGTTGAGAGATGATATTAGCAGACCATAGCTAAGTAGATGAAAGTCTAAATGTTCACAGATTAATGTTTTATTGGCTAAGTAGGAAAAAGACCTAAATGAATATAATACTAAGGTCAAATGCATTTTTAAGATAATATTTGTTGGACATTCTTAGGTGTCTAAGCCTATGGAAATATCTAAGAATAATAATTAAATTTAAAAACCGGAAGGTATTTTGCTGTCTATTTTTGATCAGATCAGATAACTTGCCACAATAACATCCTTCCTGCCAGTCTGACCAATTGAAAATGAACAAAAAATCCTAAGTACCTCTCTATTCAGATGAACAGCAATACTAACTATAGTAGTTTCACCAAATGCTTTGCAGTTTAAGTATCAACATAGTTTTTAGATTAAATTTATACTTAAGAGATAGAATAAGTTGTCTAGGGTACAATTCAGTGAGTTAAAGCAGGAATCAGAATCTGGCTCTCAAATGACATTGCAGTTCTACCCCTGTCAACATATAGCATTAAATTCTCTTCATTTTCAAAAAATTTAAGATGTTTAAAAAATATAGTTAAGTACTTAAATATGGAATTCATTATAACCATAGTCATTGTTTTTAATAAACAATTATTGGCAGTCACTGCTAGTTTTGTGTGAATCTGCTGGATGGTACTTTTAACGGTAATTCATCTGAAATATCCAAATGGCTCAGTAATCAGATGTGGATGGGTTACCTAGAGACGCCTGGAAATGGTAAACATCAGCTTTTGCAATTAGTGTTCTGCCTGCTAAGATGTTCTAATGAATTTGCATTGAGGCTGATGCAGAGAACTGTTTGGTATTGCGGACATCCATACAAAATATTCCCTTTCTGCCATTTCTATACCTATTGCTTGCTATTTGGTATAATTGGACATAAGCTGTAAAATGTCTGTTTTAAAAATAGATAAATAAATAAATGGGCAATACCCACTCTTCCCAAGTCCCTACTGCTTTTTTGTTTGTTTGTTTCACTCAAAATACTCTTATTAAAATACTCTGAGGTTACTTATGGTACTTACTTAGAAAGTTCCCTCAAAGTTGACGGAAATTTCAGTTACATTGAAGCTGACACACTCGTGGGGAAGAAATCTTCAAGAATTGTTTTGGAATTTCCACTTCATTCTTCATGCCACAGAAGGATTTCCCCTTCTTTCCAGTTCTGTGAAACAAAAAGTAACTTTTAGTCTAGTGTACTTTCTGGGATCTTGGGAAATTCCTAGCCATACTGAGACTTGGACTCTTGGTGGCCTTGCTCTCTCTGGTATTGTCCCATCTATTCCTGTAGCCATGGTTTGATAGGGAAAACAGATTTCTCTGGGAGCAAACATATGTAAGAACAGGTGAGGTTACTGTCCTTCTCATTAGCTTGCAATTTCCAATGACCACAGTCCTGTTAAATCATCCCAGATACAGAAAATTCTAATTTTGACTGCACATTTATAACCCTGCAGTGGGTCCCAATCATCCACATTTGATTCCTGTTTTGTATTCGTCATGAGGCCCTGCAAAGATGTAGCAACCTGGCAGTGCAGATCAGTAACCAAAAAACGCAGCAAGAGCTTTCTCTGTCACCTCTTTCCTTTGCTTCTGTACAAGAGGAAGAGAAAACCACTGTTTCATGCAGCAGCTGAAGATGGGTAATTACGTTTACATTCTTGTCACAGATCGGTCTCTTCCCTTAGTTCAGTGTGGGCAGGGCTAACCACAAATCATTTGACAAATTCTGACGAGGTAAATGGGGCTGTAAACACAATTATGCTTTCATGCTGTCTGCAGACTTGAGGCTTTACTTTGTGTTCCTGTTCTTTTCAGTTTGCAAAAACTGGCATAGAAAGTTATGGTTAAAAAAAAAAAAAAAAGGTGAGATCATGAAACAATTCTGTAACCTGCAGAACTGGGGTCTAGGCACAAAGACATTGTTTGTAATAATTTCAGTGCCCTCTGTGTAGAACCTTTGATGTGGTAGCAGAGGAGATGCGATGGAAATTAGACAGAAATACTTTACCTGTACAAGAACAAACACAACACTTCAAGTATAAAGGTAAATCTCTATATCTCTTTTTTCAAAAGCAGTAGGCCACATGCTATTACATAAAGACAGGTCTGCTTTAGATCATGAAAATGTGAAAAAACAAGGTTTTTCTCCCTGTGCATTTAGACATTACAAAAAGTATAAAGTTTTACAGTTCCAAAAAATTACTGAATACATCCCTGGAATACTTGAAACAATTACAGCTATTTAATGTTTCTACATTCTATTATTTCAAAGTCAAAGAATCATTCCAACTATCTTGTCCATTCTATTATAACTGAAATATAGTATTTTACTCTTAAAGGAGAAAATAGAGATGAAATTTCAAAGTGAACCACACTGTATGGAGAACTAAACATATCTCAGTTACACTTGAGAGCTTGGGGTGTGATCTTTATGAGGGGTACAGTGCTGAGAGGATAGGCAAAGATGGGTTCTTATAACTTGAGGTGGCCTGCTGGCTTGCTAATTGAGGAAGCAGTACCAGTCTGTGCGTATACCTTGCCAGACTCCTGAGTGAGATCCATCCTGGGGACAGGGGGCATGGTGGAAGATTTCAGTCAGATTTCAGCTCCTATTTTGAGACATAAGCGACCATTTGCTCCCAGTCTTCTCTATTTCTGGGTCAGGTAACCGAAGCTGCCGACTTACTCAGCTGGTACTGAACAAGGTTCCTGGATTTAATACTTTAAGTGTAGTCATTGCTTTTAGGAGTCTCACCAGGTAAACAGTACTAAAACAAGGCAGCCAAAAATATAACAAGCTGCACATTGCCTAGCCTCCTGAAATGGAACCATGATTTCTAAATATTGCCTAGATTAATACTGATCAAGACTCCTGACAGGGTAAAGATGGAAGCTGTTCATATTCATCTTGGGCTCAGAAAACTCGAAAGGGAAAAAAAAATAATCTCAATTAAAGCGTGGTCTAAAAAAAAAAAAAAAAAAAAAAAAAGGCAAACAAACACAGGTTCAGCACCAAGCACCAGCTTCCTGTCCTATGACAAATAGTCTCACCCCTCTTAGATGGTTGCATTTTAAATAACCAGCTTGCACCATGGCAGCTGAGCTTCAGCAAATAAGTGAGCTGGTCCAGGAGAGCTGCAATTGGTCAGGCCTGGCTAGGCCAGTAGGCATGATCCATGTCCCTGCTGGTACTCACAGCTAGGTGCATAGGTGATGAACAGTAATTAAAGGCAACCAAAGAACTGCTAGCTTGTTCAGTTCCTTGTAGCTATTACCATTTAATAATAGTATAATATAGTAAAATATATTCCTTTTGGCAATTCATTCTGATTGCAGTATACACCTGAAAATGCGGTAAATAATCTTACATTTGGCTTGACAGCTGCAGAAACTATGAAGCTCCTCCACACACTTTTAGTGCTGTTAGTCTAAAATGAGGAAAAAATGATAAGGATCAGGACTGTTTCTGGAAACCTTTTATGAATTTTTTCTTGTGTTAATTTCAGGTTCTTATGAGGAAGTGACAATCATCTGAGACAAACTAGCTTACAAAGTATTTCATGAAAACATTACACAATATTTATCCAAATAGTCTGATTGAAGGAATAGTGACCAATAGAAATGCTGAGAATGCACACAAACTGGATTGTGTGGATGCAAGTAAAAAGACCTAAAAATGTTTAATCAAATCTTTATCTCAATATGATGCTAACTCAGTATAAAATATTTTTCAGGAATTCATTAACGAGCTGGCATTATTTACATGTGACTATTACTTTGGCTATCAACTTATTCTAGCCAGTCTTTAATTCCTAGCAACTACTTTACACCACAATCATTACTGCCTTTTTAGAGCCACAAGAAACAAACTGATGGGCCAGGGATGTTCCATAGTATTGAACGCACAGTTGCGTATTATGGACTGTTGTCAGATACAGGGAAACTATCAGTTGGTTATTCAGGCTTTTATAAAAATGCTTTTGTAGCTGTCTTTAAGGGCTAGTAGTTTATTGGCAGTTACTTCACCCATGGATCACCAGATTATTATTCTGCTCCAAGACCACAGATTTTTCCTTGCACTTTTACCTTTGTTTTACAGGAGGACCGTAACATTCACTCCAAAGATCTTGCTTTGGGAAAAACAAAACAAAACAACAAATGATTATTGTTTAGAATATGTAAATCATTCAACTCCATTATTTTAAAAAATCACCCCTGGAATAGAATTACATACTAATATTTCAAGGTACGTATTTTTTTTCTACTTTTACTTAAACTTCCTCCTCAGTTTCATCTATGGGGAAAAGGTCACGAAGGGGACTTCCTCTAACCTTGGACAATTAGGACAAATACTACCTCCAGTATTTGGGTTAGAAAACCTAATCTGCGGCTATCGCTATGATGTTTTTTTTTTTTCAAAGACTTCATTTCAGCACCTGACTGCATCGCTTTGTGCACTTCAGTGTGCGTGTAAAACTAAAGGTATTTGGGAAAATATTACATGGAAGAGAAACCGGATTTAAGAATTGGAGATGCTTTGTCAATAACCTGCATAGCCCACGCCTCAGGACACGGCCCCGCGCGTTACTGCAGCCCTCGCGGTTAGAAACGCGCGAGTGGCAGGGGCTGGCTGGAGGACAATAGCCCAGCCGAGCGCATTGCCTGTCATCCTTCGCCTTCCTGCTCCCAGGTCGCCCCCCTCCCTGCGCTAAGGCCCTCCAGAAAGCGGCATTTTGTGCTAGCGTGGGTGTGTCTGGGCTTCACCTCTGAGAGAAAGCCTCGCCTCGCCTCTCCGTGTGGCGGGGCTGCGGAGCGAGCGCCCCAGCCCCCATTTCCCCCCTCAAAGCCCTCAGCGACTCCCCTTTTACTTCCCTTCTATCCCCCAACTCCCCGCTATTTCCTCACGGCCACCTTTTTCCCAGAGGAGCCCCGGGGGCTACTCCCGGAGGCCCCCCCCTCAGCCGCCCCCAGCCCAGCTGAGGCGGCGCAGCCGTTGGGCCCCGCTCGCGCCCCTCCGCAACGGCCGGGAGCGCGCGCGCCGGGCACGAGCCCCGCTGCAGCGGCGGCTCCCCCGCGGCCCCGCCCCGCGCTGAGTAGAGGAGGGGAGGTGGGGGGGGAAGAGGAAGAGAGCGCGCTGGCGGAAGGATCCGCGGGTGGCCGGGCGGAGGGATCCGCGGGCTGCAGCCGCCCGGAGGGTAGCGGAGGGGGGGGGCGGTGCTGCGGCTCGGGGCCGGCTGAGGCGAGGTGGCCGTTAGCGGGGGGCGCTGCCGGGGGAAGGGCGAGGCGGCGGGTGCCTGTCCCGCCGCCGGCCCCGCGGTGCGATTTGGTGGAGGAGGAAGGGGTCGGAGAAGGGGAGGGGTCGGGGAAGGGATGGGGTTAGAGAGGGGAGGGGGTCGGGGAAGGGAAGGGGGGCAGGGGGCGGCTCGGCAGGGCGGGGGGCTCGGGGGGCGCGCACAGCCCCGCTGCAGCCTCGCTGTGAGGAGCTGTTTGCCGCTCTGGCTGATTTTTTCCTTCCTTCCTTCCCCCCCTTTTTTTTTTTTTTTGTCTGATGCAGAATCCCGGTAGCCAGGCAGCCTCCCTCCTTTCTTCCCTGCCTGCCTCCCGCCTCCCCGGCACGCAGAGGGGAGAGGCACGGATAGCGGGGCTGAGATCCGCGTAGATGGGCGGCCGAACCCGTTGTTTCTTCAGAAGAGGAAGATAAACCCCAGCTGCCACAGCATCGACTTTCTTGCTGGTGTTGCGTCGCTTTGTGAAAATGGGGCTCGCCGACTCCAGCTAAATCCTCCCAGCGCCTTAAGAGTTGCCACAGCGAAGGACTTCTCGTTTTCTGCGGCAGAGGAGCTACGTTGATGTTAGCCTCCCTTCTGTAAAATGGAGAACGAAATATTCACACCCCTCTTGGAGCAGTTCATGTCTAGCCCTCTTGTCACCTGGGTAAGCGTTCATCTTTCTCTCGCACGTTATTCGTTTATTCGCTGATCGTTTGAGAATAAGGTGGAGTTGGTGTCATGGTGATGGTGGTTGTGTTTTAGGTTAAGACGTTTGGACCGTTAGCTGGAAGAAACGGGACCAACCTGGAGGAATATGTGGCGCTAGTGGATGGCGTGTTCCTGAATGAAGTCATGCTGCAAATGTAAGTGTGTGCAACTTGGGCGTTGGGCTTAGTTTTTGCTGTTGTCTCGTTTCTCGTGTGTGTTTTGCTTTCTTATGAAAGCTACTTCTTTCTTCAGAAATGATGTTAGTAAATAACTTCTTTCTTTTATACTTTACGTAGTCGTGTGGTCAGTTACAAGGATACTTCAGAGCACAGCAAACATTCATCTGTTCACAGCACAGTTTAATGTCAAAGTGATGTATTTCCAGGATGTAAAGTGCAATAGAGGCTGAATCATGATATCTGGAACTTACTGGAAAATTGGATCCTTTTAAATTGTTTCTCAGATTTCCTCTGAGAAGCATAAAGGTTCATTTTACTGCTAGTCATGATCATAAGATTTTAATAAATCTGTTTGGCTAATAAAATTCTAATGTATATCTTAGTTTGTGACATACAACTTCCGTGCAATGAATAATGTTGTTTACTAAGCAAATGGATTGTCCTTTAACTCTTTCCGCTTTACTCTTCACAGTTCAAAATTTGAGTAGGTAGCAGTTGTGCAGTAAAGCTGAGACTTTGATGGAGAGTGTAGAATGTTTTCTTACTGTGAACCACAGAAGAAACACCTTACATAGGTTTTTAAGTTGTCAATTGAACACTGCTAAAGAAAATCCGTATAAGTATGGTGGTGTAAAATCACCCAGATCAGGAAGTGCATAGTTTGCTATTTAGAAGACACAGAGATCAAAAAGTTCCAGTCAGAGAAACATTGGAATATGCAACCATGTGTTCTGATTATAGTTGTTGGTTTTTTTTTTTTGGTTAATCATAGTAGTGGGCGATATTCCAGTCAAAACTATAATGCTAGACTGTAATGCTTTTGTGAAGTGTATGGTGATATCATTATAGAAATACTACTAGTGGAAAAAAAATCTTCTTTTTTTTTTAATATTTTAGTCTTTACACAGAAATACATCTTTTGCTTGCATAGGTATGAAAAAATGCAGGCTTATGGGTGACTAGATAGATACAACTCTGCATGAGCAGCTTGTGGTGACAGCTGTTCATCAAAACACTGCTCATTGATGGGCATCCTTTTACTCCAGTTACAGTTTTTACTCATGTTAAGTACTTTAAAAGCTTTTGCTGGTGGTATTCAAATTGCATAACTAATCTGTGCAAAAAAAATCAACTCAACTACATATAATTTTGAATTCTCATTCTTTTGAAAGCAGTGTTTTCTTTGTCACCTACTTCTGTGCAGCTAAAATTAAAAGTACTGACTTCTGTGACATCTGAAAACATGGTGGTGGAATCAAACTTTCAGAAAAAAAAAATACTGGAACTGGATTGTATTTCCAGCACATTATAATTAAGAATTGTAAGTGATGCATTCACTGAAGCATTCTATTTTTATGCTACAAGTTACTTTTTCTTGGATTATATATAAATTAAATAGCTTGTAAATTATGACCGTGCATTGAGCTTGCAGAGCTTCTGTTCAGTAAAGATGTATGAGAGCTGAAAGCTGAAGGCAAAGTTTAGTACTGGGATAAGGTGATTTTGAGGAATATAATCTTGAAATTAAGCTTTCTCAGCAATTTTTTACCATGTTAAGAATATATAATCTGGTTCATATATATGTGGTATTATATGTATGTAAAATGGAAAGCTGTAGAGCAGAAACATTCCCACACTTGAGGCACTCTGCATTGAATTTGGTTTTGTGCATCTTTGACAACACACTCTGATGACTGTAGTTTACTTGGGAGGAGTTGTGTGTCTGTGTTTCTGGTTGTTGTTGTTTACATAGGGGAAATGTAAATCTAAAGTACTTCTGTAATCAGAACCGTTACAAACTGCCTTAAATTAGGGATGCATGTAAAAGGACTGTCGAACAAACAAAATGCATTTTATAAACATGCAACTATACCTGGAAGGTGCATTTTTAAATGCATTGTTGGAGGGCGTTGAAATGTGTTACGATTGATTTCTATGTAGAGCTGAAGCTTCTAGAACTGTATTCGTATTTTAGGGGGGTTGTTTGTTTTGGTTTGGTTTGCCAGGATTGAAAGAGGAAAAAGTGTGTCATGTTTTGCAGGCACACTCTGGTGAAGTCACAATGGAAACCTGTGTTAACTTCCAGTCCCATTCACTTTGAAGAGCCACATGTTAAAAATGTATCTTCATTTGTAAAAACTTTTGAAAGATTGATCCTCAACTGATCATTAATATTGCAAATTTTCAGTATTTTCCATTTTATTAGTATTTCTCTTTTTTCTTTCAGTCTTAACCAACATATGTTGAGGAAATGTGGCAGAACATGTATCATGTGACTTCAAAAGCAAAATATTTTTCTTTTTTTTTTTTTAAGGTTTCAATGACTTACTTCACATTAGAACAAGAGATCTGTAGATAGGAGCTATGGCACACATAGACATTCTAGAGGAATAAAGTGTTGCTCTTGCAGAAGTCACCAGGAGTGTCATGTGTAGAAATAAATATGTGGAAGTTACTTTTTACGAGTGTTGTGTTGTATGGTGCTTATTATTTCCGTTACTTTTGAGAAACATGAGGATGCTAATGTGTTGATGTCAGGATAACTGCTAGTGAGCATCTGTCAGGAAGAACTTGTGTTGCTGTTGTAGGTTGGTTCCTATGCTTGGAAAGCCATTGCAGCATTGGATGCTTTAAAGGGAGTTAAAAGCATGAGCAAGTGGAGGCTGTTAGGAGTGTTGTGGTCCCGCTGTCCTTATACTTCAATACATATTTTATTTCTGCCTAATATTGGAAAAAGCAAAAGTTGTGTCATAGAACTGTGAGTGTTAATATTGGATTAGGTATGTTTTTTAAAATTATACAATCAAAACAGTGATTTCATTAGTTAGAGATTTTTTTGTTCTGTTTAAAAAGAGTTAATCATGCCTTCCATCAGCTACAAGTGACAGTTTGTTAGTATGGCATTTATTTTCCTTGTGCTTGTCTAGACCAAATTTATTTTCAACAATTGTAAGGGTTCAGACCAAGGAAATAGATGCCAGTGCTGGAGTGGTTGCAGGGTAGTGGTACTGGGATAGGTGATTCTTTAAATCAGGATTAACTTTATTAGTACATAATACATCAGAAAGGGGAAAACTAACTTAGCACATTCCCTGTATGTTTTTTGTTGTTGACTTGTTGGATGTTTTAGTATACGTGAAAATTGCAGATTCCTTTTGGTTTCTGATTTGGTCTGAAGAGCTCTTCCTTTACTGGAGACGCTAAAGGGCATGTGCTTTTCTTTATTTGTTTTCTGTTTTTCTTTTTTTTCTTTTTTTTTCTTTCTTTCTTTCCTTTTTTTTTTTTTAATTAAGGGTAGTTCCAATCTTTGAATATTGGCTCCTAACTCGAGAGAATGTCTCTCATTTCCTGTTCAAATTTAAGTCCAGTTCTTCAGAAGTGTTCAGTTACCTACCTTCTGCTTGGATCAGTCAGTATCTGATACATGGATAGAAACCCATCTGTCTTTCTAAATCTGAGCCTTCATTCTCGTATTCTTTGATACAGAAAGGAGTTAGGCTTTTGGGGAAGAAATCAGGAGCCATATCACTGTAATGGGGTTCTGATACGGCAGAGAAATGGAGGAGCACACCGAGACTGCTTTATGCCTTTACTGTACTTCAAAATGCTATATCAAAATGCTTCTAATATTACAAAATACCCAGGTACTTGAATAATGTTTATTGTGTATGCTGCTAAAACCACTATAGTTCCCCAGATTAGTCACCTGTTGCATGTCTGGGTGCAATCGCAGTAAAGTAATACTTAGTTGTCCTGGAGATGCTTTTTCAGAATCTGACTAACAAGATCTTATTTTTTTGGTCTTAATACTATTATCTATATATATATGCTCCTCTGATCCAAGAAGACGAAGTTGTTCTTAAAAACATATATATATATATAATTTTCTGAGTATTCTTTGTTTTCATTTCTGATAGGGCTTGTTCTCTGATAGTTAACTGAGTTCTAATAGGATTATGTGAGAAATGCATGAGTTTCATAAAAGTCTTGTACAAATTGTGGTTCCCAAACTGACAAGGGTCTTACCAGTTCCTTT